TTTCAAATGTTTCGTAACAAGTGGCTCGCCGTGAATACTGGTGTAACTGGAATCTCGTTGCTAAATCAATGCGAATATATCGAACTCCTAGGACCGGGTAACGCCCCGACTGCTGTATGTTCATTGTGTTTTTGGTGCGGATCATTTTCAAGGCGTTAATAATTTCCGCTTCATAAACTGTATTGTCTGTCCCTTCAATTTAAGACTAGTATCTTAAGTCTTAACACTGTCTACTATGTACCATGTCTAACATTATTACTTACGATCTTTCCCTTTGCGACTTTTGTGTATAGCTTGAATTACCTTTGACATTTAGAATTTGTGGCTACAATTAATTATTCATGATGATGTTTCTTAGATAAAAGTGAACAACGCAGAATTGATTATTAGGAAGTTGTCGGATGATGTCAGGGGCCTTTAACCTTTTGTTCGTTTTGTTACAAGTTAATATTGCGAATGACCTAACAGTCTGTATTTCTTGACCTCCCAAAGACCTGTGAATATCGGAGCTTTGTGTGGGAGTAGCGCGTGCACTCTCATTGCCAAATCTGAAAAAATCAAAACTCATGATGACTTGTACTTTTCTGAGATTCTTCTCTTTCATTTTTGAGTCTCAGTTCCCTTGGGTCCATTCGGCAATGACCTTATGTAAGTATGAAATGCTATGTCTAAGACATTTCCGATTAATTTATAATTATTCAAGGTGCCATCTACACCAGGGATGACGAACCAAGAACACGCGCGACATTGATTTCACGTCTATATAATGTTTGGTGCACATCACTTCTCACAATTTTATGCACTACAAACATTTTGTGAAGTAGGTACAATACAGGGGAGTGGACTCTACGCTATAGAATATTTAAAAATTGTTAAAGTTTACCAAGTTCGTAAATGTTTGCCACCCCTGCTCTAGGCATGGGGTGTGTTACAAAATCTTACATCGTTGTGTTATTTGATTTTATTTCAAAATTTGTTTAATATACCAGTATTGTTTCAGCACTTCTCCATACCAAATATAATTAAGAGGAAAGCTATAACCACAATGTATAAAATCTGAGAATCTTATTTTTTTCTGTATTACCTTTACATTTCCTTTGAAATACGTTGAATTGCTGCAAATGTTAAACTTAGTAGGTACATTTACACGTGAATGCCTTCAAGGAGCAAGGCCGATCGCTCGTTTTGGCGTATTTTCACTTTCCAATCCGGCTCGTGCGTATACATAATTATCAGTATTGCCAAACGGTTGTGTCAACGCAATGTCAAGTACATCAACCACGTGTAGTGGGGACTTTATTATTGAATTTAGCCAAAATTAGCCAGTTATCGGGACCGACCTCGTATTTCGGATGTATTGCCCAACCGTTTGGTAGCTGTGATATTTGCAATGACTTGCATTTTTATTATATGCAGAGATTTCATCATGTACTTAACTAAATATGAAGAGGTGTGTCTGTTTATTCGTTAAGCTTCGACGCGTTAGGATTCAAGCGATCTTGACTATTTATGCATTAAATGTTAATGGAGCATAAAACTAAAGTAAACCGTAAAATTCCCGAATGGTGGACAAATATAACTGGTATTGAAAAAATAATTGACATATTTAAACTAAAAAAAACAAATTAAAGGAATGAAAAAAAAAACAAAATGATTAAAAAATATGTATAAAGCCGCGGCTATAAACTAGTATTTAAATAACACTTGTTTTGTTTCCTTGTTATTTACTTTAGTAGTGTCTTTATGTATTTAAAATGTACTTAATATCTAAAGAACCAACGATGAGGTAAGAAAACATATTTACCAAAAATTATAATTAAGAAGCAAACATTAGTTTTTTAATGAAATATTTGTCGCATTTATGCTTCTCTATGACAAAACTAGCTGACGCCTGTGACTCCGTCCGCGCGGAGTAACCAAAAACTTAGTAGAATATGTGTTCTTCCAGACCATATATGTATACCAAATGTCATCGAGATCCGTTCATCCGTCCTGGAGATACCTTCAAAGAAACATCCATCCATCCATCCATCTGTCTAAACTTTCCCATTTATAATATGTTTATAAAGTAAGATAAGATAGTTTTGTGCAGTTGATATTTGCGACTTTGTGTGGCAAAGCGTGGGGTTACCCATAACGAAATTAATACGAAATTTGTCTAATATAATAGAAAAACATTGTCTTCCGCAATATTTGACCGTACGTCGCAATACAAGTAAGGGCTACGCGGATTGGTTATTGTTAACACTTGATGGTCAGTGAAACATGACTAGCAATTCGGGTCAGGGTCCAAACGTCTTGGTACTTGAAGTGGTGTTTATGTTTCTTTGGTAGGTACTCGTAAGTGATTCTCTTAGATCAAATACTTTGTATTGCTAAACAATATTTCAATAAATTAAACGCACATTTGAGATTTTCAAATATTAATTCTATTGTTATTGTAGGCCATTCTATTTGAATTTTTCTCCTAATTGGTACCTATTATACGAGTATAAACTAGACGATGAGTTTTTTGGGTTAACTAGCTGTACCTCGCGACTCCGACTGCAAGGAGTTTAAAAACACTTAATAAGTAGCCTATTTGTTCTTCCAGACTATGTTCTACATTTTTGTCAAATATCATTCAGATCTGTTCAGTGTTACTAGTTAATGGCAAAAAGAAGACAAACACATAAGGACAGGAGAAAAACAAAAACCTAGCTAATAAACAATGTAAACATTTAAATTTCCATTTTGATGACGCTGCAGGATATGAAAGGTAACTCAAGGCAATTTGTAATTGTATAATCATTAAATGCAAAATATTTACTACTTTAATACCATTCACTGATTTCTGGTTATACAAGAAAGCAATATAAAAAAGCTCTTAATGAAATTCCATTGCGCGTAAAGTATGTACAAAAAATAATTCAATTTTTAATCTAATCTGTCTTTACCTTATACATGTATGGACGTCCAAGATACCCGCGCATACCCCGAGTTAAAGACAAGGGCTTAGTCAATCACATTAGTCCAAATCGGATTACTTTAATTTATTTAATTAGTGCCTTAGTGTTTCTAATTATATAGGATTTGGAGTTTTCGCGATATTTTTGTTATCTGTCCCTTATTGAAATGAAGCGGACAGTGTTCTATAATCATAATATCCTAAAGTTATTTTTTGCTAAACATATTTTTATCTTATTATTCATATATGATAATTAAAGTTGCCTCAGGGCAGACCTAACGTCAACTTAAGTAAGGTAAAGATGCATTGTATGCAAAATTATAATGCTTAAATTATTAAACGTCGTTTGTCAGTGTTAAATAACTACTTAAAACCAACACACCTTCGTGAGAATATACAAAGAACTGGTTTGATTATAAAACCAAAAAAGCCGACTTTACCCCGTTAATTCTGGTGAATAATACGAATATATAAGGGGTGTTACATTTCAAAATCAATCAATTCTTTGTAAGGATACAACAAGAAAGGACATACACACATATAAAAATATATACATATTCAATCGTGCAAAATTCTATTTGGTTATAGAGGGGGAAGTTGATTTAATTTTTCACAAGATTAATGAATATCCAGTTGTACGATAAATAAATATAAAATGAAAGATATAATATATTATAAACATTTATTCATTCGTCATAATCTTTTGGTAACAATCATTGATATTTTGTTTTTATAGTTATATATATATATATATATATTTGTATATATATATATATATATTTGTATATTTTAATGTTGAAATCGTTTATACAATTAAACGATCCGACAGCAAATTGAAAAAATGTGTAGCTTACATTTTATTTTGACAAAATTCTGAAATAAAAGTTTTCCGAAGACGTAAAAATATATATATTTTTTTTATGAACAGGGGGCTAACGAGCTGATCCTTAAAAAAAGAGTTCATTCGATTTACATTGTATCCAACAAATTTATTTTCAAAATTGCATTTTATCTACACCATCTATTTTGGTATCGGTGGTTGAAATTTAATCATTTACAATTTCTTAACCTTGAACTTTCTATTCAAAAAAATCTCATATGTAAGATAAGTTGACACGAAAATTTATCTTTCAAGTATTTGACTTAAAAAATTATTCATATTAAAGTCAATAAATTGAACATTGAGTTGTCTGATTCGATATTACAACATATAATAATAACAATAAAAACCCTGTAATATTCTGAAATTTCTACAGTAAACATGTTTTGTATCCTTATACATAAACTTGAGCGAAAAGTATTTTTTTTAATTAAATTGACAAATTCACCTACACTATACATCTTAATTAGAACAATATAAAAACAAACTATTCTACGTAAAGTACCTTTATCTATTTAAGTAAGTAATAAAATAATTAAAATTAATAATCATATTGCTTTCAAATTATACATTTGTTTCATGCATATAAAACAAAACTACATAGTAATAAAATCACAGATACCATGTCGATATCATCTGGCGAGGTTTGCAAGGAAACTTATTTTACAGAACTATTAAGCTTTTAAAATATAAATGTGGGTTTCCACTGCCTTAACACTTTTATTGATACATATCGTCATCCCTTTTATTCACTTTGAAAAAACATAGACAACAAGATGTGCGTTTTCGCCAGTAGAAACCCACAGAAATGTTTGTGTATAAAGGACGTACAGGGAAATGACAATTGACGAAAGTAATTAGGACAAAACCCTGTCATAGCAACATATGTATAATGGTTAAATTTGTTTTCCGCTCTTTTGGTTTTTCGTAAGATATTCAATAGTAAAAGGGTAGCAAATATAATTCATAAACTGTAGTATAATTTCCTATGAGCTAACCTCTAAAACAATTAGGCATAAAAGAATATGTAAAAGTTGTAGTCAAAGAAATCAAAACGTAACAAATATTATTAAAACTTTTGCAATTATCTAGAACAAATGACTATTTCGTACACTATTTTGTAAAGTAGAAATTATATTTCATATATTATATACTTTTAATTTTGTTCGTAAATGTGGATGGTAAACAAAAATCTTTATAACTAAAAGCAAATTCGGTGGAAAATATCTGTTAAAAACATATTTTATTTTTGTCACATATTTCAAACGTTTGCATTGTACCGCTTACATATTACATTTCATTATAAAATACAGCACTTTTTGTTGTCTTAAAAATTTATTTTAGATTAATTTAATCTAAATATTATCTACATAACATCACATAAAATTACTTAAATTAATGAGCATTATTATTCGCTAGCATTCTTTCGTCTTGCCGTTAGCGACGACGCCATTGCCGTTAGCGACAACGCCATTGCCGTTAGCGACAACACCATTGCCGTTAGTGACGACTCCTTTGCCGTTAGCGACGACTCCATTGCCGTTAGCGACGACTCCATTGCCGTTAGCGATGACTCCGTTACTCTTTGCCCGTGTGGTGATTGCGTCAGTCTTCTTGTAGTCAATGTTGACGTAACTTCTGTAGTAGAAATTACCGAACATATACAGGAATAGACCAGCGTTTAGTGCCAGTAGGAAGTTGATCGACTTCGGATAGTTGCAATCGCAGAACATCACCACGAAGTTGTGGTAGAACACGATCACAAACTGTACCTGAATAACATTAATATTTTTAGTATATGGTAACCTACGTAAATATTAACTTATCTGACCCGGTGGGCATAAATTAAACTAAATGATAGTATCCATGACAATAAATAGTATGACAGGCAGTAACAAGTGTAGAGATAAATTGTCATTTCCATTGTCTTTAATTACCTACCTGTTAATTATTGGATGTTAAAGTCAATGTCAAAGAACATATATTTAAAAGAAAGTTTGGCGTTTTAAGTAAGCAATGTTGAAAAATATTTTCTCATATATTTTAGTGGTGAATGTTATAAAAAGTTATCATTTACCAATTGGAGACTGGTGAGGTGCTTCTTCCACCAGATGTACTTCTGGTACTGAGGCCCAAGACCTGAGATCAGGTAGTAAGTATACATAATGACATGGATGAAGGAGTTGATTACACCCAGCAGAGTTCCGTGACCTCCTGCAATATTATAATTGTATTAGTAACCTTATAATTAACAGACCCTGCAAAAATATTAAGCATACACTTTATTAAAATTAACATAAAGAATTTCAAAACACAAAAATTATAAATGCATAAAGATTATAAAAAATACCTGGCAAGAATTTAACTCCAATCCAAGCGCAGATCGGCATCATGGTGTGATGGTAAAGATGCAGGAATGATATTTGTCTGTTCTTTTTCCTAAGAACGAAAAATACTGTATCAAGAAGTTCGATGATCTTCGCGAAGAAATACCACCAAACAGCTCCCGCCATCTAGATAATTAAAGGAAAAAAATAAATAAAAGGAATATGTCTAGTCATTTATTGGTGCAAATATTTAACTGAAATAAATAAGCGTTAATCATTTTGTGGATATTTTACAGCGTATGGAAATATCTTACACATAATACTGAAATTAAATCAAAAAAGTGTCTAAAAATAAAAAAAATTGTAGACACAAGACAGACAAGGTGTAAATTTGTAATAATTTAAAACATTCTCTTTCTCAAAGTATGCAATGATACTTACTCTGAATGCCTTAGGGTCGTAGGAGTAATCCACGGGCTGACAGCTAAAGTTGTAATCATTCCACCAGCCGGAGACTAGACCCTGTAACAAATAAACTCATATGAATGTTGGACACTATTATTATAAAAGTATTCAATTATTTTGACGAAAAATGTCAATCTTCGTAGAACATAACACGGACGAATTATTTTACTTGTAAAAAAAAGTTGCATCTAGCAGTGCATTTTAACTTTTTATGCAAGTCAATCGGTATTAAAACTTCTTTCAAAAAACTTTTTTTTGTAAAATTCCTTAAGTGATATTCAACTATCGCGTTGAATATGTACAATATTTACTCGTATATACATAATAATGTATTTGCCATGTCTTTTAGCTAAGTCTAAAACGTCAGGACACGGATTGTTGACATCATCTTAACATAGCAAACAATCATAGACTTTGTCCGGTTTGACAACACCTTCTATTTTTTTTTTCTTTTAAAATACACAATATAAAAATGTTTAATGGCCAGAAACACAATTATTATTTTAAATAACCAGACAACTAAAGCTATTTTTACATTAAAAACAAATATTCTTTAGTCCGGTTATTTCAATATTATAAACAACCGATGTTTTTATGTTTACTTTTAAAATACAAACTATATCAAGTTTAAATTGGAAAATCACTAATAAAATAACTTTATTAATAGACCAATTATCAAAAATATATTAATTATTTTAATAGGAAGAATTGAGGATAAAGAAAGGCCTAATTTAGTCCTCTTTCCCTTCCCACCCTTTTCTTATAAAGAAAGGATGGGAAGTGGAAGTGGACTTTCCGGATGAGAGGATGCATGGAAAGGGAAATTATTTTCTTTCTGTGCATCCTCTCCTCCGTCGATTAAAGGTAGGCAACGCATATGCAATTGCGTACGTCTATGGGCAACGGTCACTTCGCTACTTCAGCGATTTCAGGTGGCCGCTTGCTCGTTTGCTACCTTATGTTATAAAAAAAAAAAGAATTGAGGCTGAAGAAAGGCAATTAGTACGTTACATAAAGATCAACAAATGAAATGTTCTAGAACAAATGGAATACGGAAAAATCGTAATCAGATAAGTATTCTTATTAATGTTATTTAATTGTTACAATGTAATACGTAGTAGTAAGTAGTCACGCCTACATTTTTGCTTGAGTGATCTTATTCCAAGTTTGGTGATCATTATAACATTAAGTTTTCCTTAAGTTGCGTGTAAAAAAAATCAAATAAGTAATTATTTTTAATTGCTTTGAAATATCTTATAAGTTAATCCAAAATTTGAATAATAGAAAATCTTGAAAGTCATTACAAATAATGATGTTTGTCGATAATCATAACATTGTGAATGTTGTGCATATTTTTTATTACAGGTATTTGAACCTTCAACATTATAATCTTTAAATAATGTCTAATTCTCAATACCTCATACTTATTTCGGGGAACTCAGAATCGGAAATTTTACGTGTTTTTAGGGATCCGTACCTAGAAATGTAAAAACGGAACCCTTATAGGATCCGTTCGTCTGTCTGTCTGTCAAGAGCCTTTTTATCAAGAACTGGTAGAACCTATTGTCCTTTGGAGCTGTAAAAAACTTCTAAGCTAATGAAATCAAAAGAAACAGTCATTTATGCCGCAAGTATACACTCGCAAGTAAAACAAAACCTATTTGGTAGTTTGCATGAACTCTGAATATTGAAATTTGCTTAATCATCATCTTACAGCACATATAAAAGGAAAAATTGCGAAAACCGTAATTTTTACTTATAAAAGTTTGTACTGAACACTCGAGTCCGACTCGCACTTGACCGTTTTTTTTTCAATAAAAAAGTGCACTTCCACAAAGAAGTAATTACCTCGTATACTAAGAAAATGCTCATGAGGATTTGTGTGATGTTGTAGACGATGATGGGTTGTTTCAAGGAGAAGGGTTTCCTGTCCCTCATATAGCGCGGGCCCACTGACGTGCAGAAATACAGGTACGTAGCCAACAGGGTTAGCAGAGGCCCCGGACCTGACATCAGCCACCAATTCTCCGTTCGAGGATCTGGGGGAAACATCAAAATAAATGAATAATTAAAAAATATAAGATTATTTTTTGCAAGTTTTTGTAAGTACAATACTCGTAAGTAACATATAATGAGTTTTATAAAATAACATTTTTTAAATTAATTATAAAAAAATAACATGAACATTAAAATTAATATGGTTGTACGAACGTTGACTACAAAAAGAATAATGGCATTTTAAAAATTACATTCGGACTTATTGGTGAAAAGAACTTATATTTAAAAGGTAAAAATATTAAAGTTAAAACATTTATCATCATCATAACTCCTACATTTAAACCTTCGATCGTATATTTGAATAAATCGAAAGAAGATTTAAACTGTATAAGTTGAATAATTTGTTATAACCAATTTAATTTGATGCAAAAAGTAATTTAAAATCACGCTTCATGAAGGACGAAAATAACGATAAATAATTCGTGTTAAATGATGATATACTTAAACAATTTAATACTTAATTCTAGCAACAACAAAAAGATTTGACGATACTTTTATCCATTTTAGTAAAGCAGTCGTGCTGTCAAAATGTTGACTTGTTTTTCGAATTATAATAATATGTATTGTATAAAATGTATAAATAATCAATATAAAGTAAGTCGCTTCCGCCGTTTTACTCCATTAATGTATTTTTCCATTTAAACATGGACGTAAACAATAACAAACTCTTATCGACTATCGAAGTGATTTATCGTAGGTTTCTGAAAACATAATCCCCTATTTAAAACATATCGTTATCTCTGTTTTCTCAAAGATGACGATACGTTGTATACAGATATTTTGGTCTCACAAAACAACGGTTAGTGGAAAGTATATTATTGTGAGCTAGTTGGTAGCTAAACAAAATGGAAAAGATGTGTCAGAGGCAACCATCTCATTCAGAATTATGTAAGTATTTGAGGCGCAATATTTTATAACTTTAAAAAACATAAGTTTGCTATATATATATATATATATATATATATATATATCGCATATTACAAACATAAACGTAATAAATATTATAAACATTAAATAAATATTTATCCATTTACTATAAATGCATCAAAGGCATGCGAAGAATATAAAATTTTGTTTACTTAACATGTCATTTCCATACAGCTGCGAGTGTACTTTGCATTGCCTTACTACGAATCCCCCTTCCATCCCCTCCCCTTCTCCTTCTCATTCCTCGTCGCTATCTGATGCAATGACTAACATCGCACGTGCTACACAATATTCTAACACAACAGTTATTCTCAACAACAACAAACTAATTATAAACAAAATGCAAGGACAAGGAAATTCTAAAAAGTTGTTTAAACATCTCAAATCTTACTTCTTTCTACTGTTACTATTATTATAAATACGTTCTTTTAGAAGATGGATATTAAAAGGTATCTCCATAATGGCTGAGCAGATCTCAATGAAATGTGGCATAGATCTATATCTATGCCAACACATGTTCTATAACATAGTTCGAAAGAACACATAATCTCCTAATTATACTTTTTTATATTCGCGCGGACAGAGTCTTGGGCGACCACTAGTCAACTAAAAATCATTATTGCAATTGCCTGACTTACAGAAGAGTAAAGTTTTTGTCGGTTTTATTTGAATATCGCGGACCTCCAGGTGAATTATACGTAACATGTAGTTACGGGGATTCAGTTTTGTAATTAATCAGTCGAAATATTAACACGGAAGCCGAAAACCAAACAATCGGTGTTTGAAAACACGCATATTAAGACCTACCACAAAGATAATAATGCAATATATTGATCAGATCACGTTGTGGCAAGTGCCCTAAGATCGCGCACTGCATATAAATGTGAAATTATAAAAGTATTTAATCTATTACGTATGTTGAAGGATCGAAGTCCTTCTGCTAATTTAGAGCTAACATACACGGACTGTTTCAAACTTAGCCTGAAGAAACATTGACCGCAAACTTAACTATAACTAGTGTTCGGTGAACGTCAACTGCTGATCGCACAACGCCGATCACTTGAAGTCCGTGTATGTCGGCCCTTATGAGTTCGTTACGGTATCAAAACAAGGCGTAAGATAACTAGTGTCGTAAATATTTATACGTCAGGTGTTTCATAATGCGCTTATAAATTAGAATAAAATTCGTCGCAGTATCGTATTTGTTTGTGTCATTGTAACGATATTATGAAGCTTATTTTTTTGGCGAGTATATAATATGTATGTATGGACGAATACTGAATTGTTACTTCCTTATGTTTATAGAATATTTATGTTCTTAGTGTATAAAGATTATATTCCTATAATATATGTTGTAGGCATTTTTGTATATTGTTTTTACAAGACTGACTTCAAAGTGACTTGTTTAATCTTAATTTTAAAAAGGTAATAAAAAACACCATTAACTCCCTGGAATTATCACGTGGTGTCGACTTTCAACGTTATAGAAACCTTACAGTTTTGGCTTAATTCTTACGACCGACCACCTGACAGTGACAACGTTACTTGGAAGAAGTAAACTAAAGTTTAATAAAAATGTAATTATAAACTTAATATATATAGTTAAATAATTAAAAAATTATTTTAAATTAATATGAAGTTATAATAATATTTGATGAAAATTGTGAATCTAAACCATTCCCAGATCCCCTTGAACACACACAAAAAATTTCATCAAAATCGGTCCAGCCGTTTGAGAGAAGTTCAGTGACATACACACTCACAGAAGATTTATGTATATAAAGATAATTAATAATATTCATAAGTTAATATATTATAAATAGAAAAAAATTTAAGTTCATGTTTCTTGTAATGAAGTCAATATTTTTAATAATCGTCTTCAATGCTAATTAACATTGAAAATTATTTAAAATAAGACGTGAAACGTGACCTTTTATGTTATATGGAGGTTGGCGATGCACATATCGTAATCTTTCGACAGTAAAATTGACCAACTAAGAAATGACTGCACCGGATTTGTGACGAAATGTGCACTAAATTTCTTCACAATACAATAAAATGTTTAAAAACGTAAACCAAATATTTACACCTGTATACAAAAGCTTAATCTTTTCTCTGTTTTGTTTTTTTTTAGACAAAGATACTGATGACAATGTTTTCTGTTTGAAGATGTCTTTAAATATGTCCAAATGTAAACCAGTTCCGATAATTTTAATTGCTTAATCAATAACATATTGTTTGTCATGGAAACTTATAGATTTAACTAAATAAATAGGAACAGAGTTCACACACGTGTTAACATAAAGAATTAAATTAAAATGTCTAATCATGTGGGGTCTATGATGGGCGGAAAACCTAAATATAAAATTTAATCTATCGATATTTTTGTTATAATATTAATGGTAAAAAATAAATTATAAGTTGTATAATAGCGATTATCGTGAATAAACTTGTATGTAAAATAGAATAATAATATTATTCTGATATCGGTTAAAAATAACACTGTTTTTGTAACGTTTACTTGACATTTAAACAAGTTGTGTCAACCGGTAGAGTTACTCGAAGAATTTTTATCTTTACACTCAATGAGTGTTACTTCATGACAATATGATATGCTTTAATAAAAAAACATTAGCAATTTTTTCTACTTTTTTTTAGTACCGAGATATAAAAAAGGGGATGATGTTACGTAACATAGAGACCCTTAAATATCAATGTAGAGAAATATATCGGTAAATTCAGGCCTTTTGACTATGAATCGACTGTAAATAATATTTATCTATGCTCCATAATGAAACATAATTTAAAATTCAAAAACAAATCACACAAAAATTATGGTGGTATATATTGGCCTTAACTTGCGCGGTGCGGGTGGCCCCAGTAGGGTTTGGGACGATTATTATTGTCCTTGTGAACTAATTTGTTTAAATGTATGAATAGTTTTATTACTGTTTTCTTACCTTTCTTTTCTTTATTATAATTGTGAACAACGCTGTTGGATACATAATTACTTAGTCTTTGTTATATATTATATTGATGTATATACATTATGTAGTCGTTAGTTGTTCCAAATAAAAAAAAAAATTGAAAAAACATCAAATTAAAAAAATGTAATGTTTAAGTCTTTAAGTTTATTATTTCTTAAATTGTATGTTGCAGTACTTATCATTACTTTTTCAGTAAACCACGATGGATTTGCACATAATTTGCCTAAAAAAACTTACCACTGTTCCTCTCCATAAACCTCTTGTACGAGTCAACGAAGGACATGTTGTATGAAGAACTTGCACCTGCAAAAAACACAGACTTTTATTATTTAAATCTTACTAATATTACAAATGCGAATGAGTGGATTGATGGATATTTGTGTGTTAGAAAGTATCTGCAGAACGGCTGCATGGATCGCGCTGAAATTTAGCATAGATGTAGAACACAGTCTGGAAGAACACAAAGACTACTAATTAAGTTTAATTAATTCCGGCCGGACGGAATCACGGGCGACAGCTAGTTAAAAGAAGGTTAAAAACAACAAATAAAAGTAAATTACACTCTCGATACTTTATGAAAAATGAAGAAACGGAAACTTCTTTCGTCAAAATTACTTGGTATTAAAAGTTCTTTAGGTAGCCATTAGGCACGTGAGTCGGATACTGTAGGCGGTACATTGACTCTTTATTATATCAAAATTACAATATATATATATACAATGTACATATATATAACAACAAAGTTAGTAAATAAGTCATATAATTAAACTTCTTGTTTCTCTTATCCAGCAGACCGAAGCGGAGGAATTCAGTTTTAGTATTGTCCCAAAATAATGTTATTAAAAATATTTATAATTAATGGAAATTATAATTCTCAAGTTGTAAAAAAATGCAGTCAAAATTCATACATCTTTTTTCAATTACAGTTTTTTGTATTTCAAATTATTTGAAAAAAAATAATATGCATTTTACTTGTGAAAGTTATAAAATATTTTAACGTAACAAAACAGATAAAATGAAGCAAACTTATTGCAAAGTGTAATTTGCAAACATATCTCATTTATCAATATTTCAAAATAAATTTGTAATTTTTACGTTTTATATATGAATGAAACCAACCTCTTAATATTGGTAGTTTTCTTTTCGTTTTCACTAACTCACTAGTGTTTAAACACTTAAACACTAACAAAGAACACAGAATAATCTTACTCCTGTAAGTGACACTTGGATACTGACATTCATGAATATGTTTGTATATAAAATTAAATTAATCTATTGCAAAAGTTAGCCTTCGGATGGCACTGGCCCACTTGTTTGTTAGACTTAGTCTTGTGTGATTTTTCATTTTGCTTTCCCTTTTTATTTAAATTCATTATTTAGCTAATTAATTTCTTGTTTTAAGTTAATGGACGACATTTATGTGTCACCGGTAAATCGAATATGCCGGTCGTTTGCAAATTACCTAGGCAAGTCGCAAAGAATCGCGAAACTACAGCGATCGAAAGCATTCAAAAATAGACATGTCATATTTTAATAATTTTTCGAGACATTGAAAAGATTTTGTAAAGAATACAGTGGCTGTAATTTTCTTTAAGGATTCGCGAATTTAAGAACAATCAAAGACGAACGGACGACGGAAGTTCTCCTTATTTTAAACGTCAATTTGTGAATGAATTCGTTTGTGATTTACCTGGGCAAATTACAAACAGACGGTGGGCACGATTTGCCGGTGACATACGAGTATGCAACATTTACAAATGGACGATATTAATCGTAACCAATTGTGCAATTAACTCATTATTAGTAAATTAACATAAACCGACCTCGGCACATTCTTTAGTAATTTCTTTTCTAAGAATGCTTTCAAATTTATTTAAAGAATAAGCTCGTTCAGAATTTTCTAATAAAATTGGAGTGTCTCTATGTAATACCGAGTGAAAAAATCATATGTCTTACACGTGATGTATTAGCATTGCTATAGGGAATGCACCGAAAAACCAAGTTAATTTGTTTTGTCTGTATGTCGGCCCGCAAGACCACATTTGTTACGGGTAAACTCCGGAACGGCTGGAGTGATGCAGACGTGATAATGACGGGACAGAAGATGATGCACGCGGGCATATTATAGGTTACTTTCTTCTTTAAAGACGAGACGAAGTTCCTGGCGACATCTAATATTATATATATTAAGTTATTGGTTTCATGAGTACATAATTAATTCTTTTACTTAAAGATCACAGGCGTTCTTAGAATAAAATCTAGAAATATTTCTTAAAATAAGTTTCCTTCTACTCAAACTCTTAACAAATAATAATTTGAATGTTGTTAAATATAAAAACTATTTTATTAAATTGTAGTTATACAATAGAATTATTGCATATCAATTAATTTTTATTACGTTTTACAACATATCGGTGCAAATAAAATAAAATTCAACGTCTTACTTTTGATAGAATGATAAATAAACTTAATTAAATTTAAGTAAGTATTAAGTAAAGATTTCAAAAGATGTGTTGTAAAAATGTAGCTTTAAATAACAGTACTTTGAACTGATATTATAAATGAAGAACATTCGGTGGTGGGATGGATTTTTGTTAGAAGGTATCTCTTGAACAGCATATATGATATGCAACAATTTTTTTAACAAATCTTCAAGAATTAATTCAGTTACTACCTTTGCCGCTTTCAGCTTTGACATCCAGCAGTATCCTTCATCACCTAAGAATTGCCCAAATGATAATTACTCAGATCATTAACCTAGTTACTCGCCTACAGCTGATAGTCCCTAGGCAACCCAGACATCTCGAATTCTATTAGCACGGAAATGTGTCAGAAAATTCGCGTCAACGCTATTTCGACTCGATCAAGGACATTCGACTTAAAGAATGTCACTAATGTATTCTTATTACTATTTTTAATATAACCAGTATGTTACACTTTGCTTACGGCTGAATGTCCCATAATATTCACGATACCGGTCCTTGAACTGGCGATTCGCAATAAATAACGTCTCGATGGGTGTTATTTATTTTACAACTATCTTGACATAATCAAATTGTTGACGTATAGGATGATAGAGTTATTTGACCCGGTGGATGTAAGTCAAACTTAATTATGGTTCCACAAAGATCATATAACAGTCGGATCTTGACAGCGTCATATTTTGAGCAATGAGGGAGCACGGTTTTATCCTAAAAAAATATGCATGTTGGTATGACATAAAAGTTAACTTACTAATGTGATTGGATGTTTTTAAAGTTGCAACATAGTCAATTTCGGAAGAAGTTAGGACATTTTTGTTACTGGTAACCCTTAACATTTGTAGGTCGTAGAAATTGCCGTAAGATCCTAGTTTGACTATATGACAGTTCAATAACGTTCGGCTGTAAATGTCAAAAAAAACAGTGTCATATTGTAGCTGTCTTGTATTTTTTCTTTAATGGCATTTTCTATGCCAAAGTAGGTTTTATAATATATATTTGATGAAACTAACGGCGATAGCAACGCCTCTCTTACCGGCGCAGTCAAGTTTATCGTACTATACCCATAAATATTATTCATTCACGTCATTTATTAGCATATTTGTGGTTATATAATAAGTTATGAATACTTTTTGATGGTCATCATTGGTTGTTTATTGAAAACTAGCTGTCGCCCTCGACTCTGTCCACGCGCAATTAAACTTAATTAGTAGCCTGTGTGTACTTCCAGACTATGCTCTACCTCTATATCGAATTTAATCAAGATCCATATAGACGTTTTGGAAATACCTTCAAATAAACATACTTCCTTCTATCCATCTAAACATTCGCATATATGGTATTTGCAAGATCTTTGAATAATGTCCGTTTAACTTAGCGACATTAAAAGAAAGTGTAAAACTACACAAATGTAAATATTTAGAATTCTTTTACATTGATAATATTTAATATTTTCTAAAATTAAAAGATTTTAAACCTACATTCTTAAACTGTTTGATCAATCCCCGTTTAGTTCCAGTTTGTACCCGGATCCAAAAATGTGACCTTGAAACTATGCTAATAAAATTGACGAATATCATTTGCACACGAAAAATATTTTCCGATCTTATATTTCTGTTAATATTTCTTACTTTTAGTGTTAATCAAATCGTTGCCAATCAAGTTAAATTTTAAGGTATTTGACATAACTTTATATACAACTTGAATTTATAATTGCTTTTCTCTGAATGATGTCAACATTATCTTGAGAGGTTTTAGTTTTTCCTTCTATTAAATAAAGAGCTGTGACTAAATACAAATAATAAGAAATCTTCATTGATCATTTCTCAATTTTTTACGAGTTTGATAAAATATTGGAATGTAAGCCAATTTAATAACTACTTAAAAATATTTTTTTTTAAAACAAATTATAAAAAAAATTGTAAATAGATTAATGAAAAAACAATTTTAAATTATGTGAACATATATGATTACCGCAAAAACGTTGTAAGAAATAGTTATAAAATATTGGTGAAGTGCAATCGTTGGTGCAAGTGTTGGTGCAAACATTTTGCCAAAGGTCGTCACATTGAACTTGACAGCGACATCTGGCGTTCACGTTACGTAACCTCCAACAATCCAACGCTTGCGGATTTTGATCACGCTATGCTGCAGTCGCATACCGTATTATGCTACTAATTCATTGTGTTGTGTATGGTTGTGTAATTGTCTATGTTTGTCGTTGTATTTTCCCTGAGACGGTTTACAGGGTTGGTTATACATTGTTGCATTACTCCTATATGAAAGTTAACATTATATAAAAAATTTCATATTTAACTCTTATGTTCATTTTGTATAGTATACCATACATACAACTTTATAAAAATATACGGTTACTATAAAACAATTTTTTTTTTAACTTTGTTTTTTTCATTTCTTCAAAAAAAGAAATCTTGCCACAATTAGGGTTAATAAGATCTTTAATTGAAAAATATCTAAAAATCCAAATTAGCTAGATTAGTATTTTTATTCACGTAATATGATTTATATTACAATATTTTGGTCATTGAACTTAGTCATCCGTCCATTGCAGACGTTTTCTTATAAACATCCTGTAAACTTTGTCGAAATTATATAATATTGAAAACGGTTAATTTTATACATGGTAGACCAAAAGTTTTCCCTTTAGGTCAAGGGTAAAAGGGTTTTATATAATACCAATCGCACATTACGTGACCCATTACTAATTTATTATAATTTTAATAAATACCAGTGATTTCATACCTTAATACCAGGTCGTAAGGTACAGTTTCATTCGAAGAAAGCATGTCCATCTATTGTCCA